GGGGGGGCGGGGGGGTCGTTTGCCTCCAGCCCCCCGCCAAAGGTCCTTTCCTCCGGGACCTGCCCGGTCCTCGCTAAGCAAACTGCTTCCAGCTTCGTCGCTCGAGGTGTCGGTGACGGCAGACACCCCAAGGGAAAACCAAAGAGTCACCCAGAATTTCCTGCGGCGTTCCTGCCCCCGGCCCAGGGGTGAGCTGCTAGCGGCGAACTCCAAATACCAGCAGCTCTATAAAAATCACGAAGGAAGCAAAAAACTGTAGTTGCTCCTAATAAAGTACTCAGGGAAAAACGTTATGGGTCGGCAAAAATCACTCTTGCACAGCAAGATGTCTTCCACGTACAGCCCTGGGTGTGTGGAGAATGCCTCTACCTCACATTCAGCTTGCTAGTAAAAATTGCACTCGGGCCTCAGATGCACCGATCCAGGAGTTCCTTCTTCTAGTTTAAGCAACAGCAACAAAAACCCCAAACAAATAACACACAGGAAGGGCAATTAGCACCAACTATGCACTTACACAACCCTAGAGTATTACAGACCAAATAGCCTGCATGAACATACTAAGTTTCAACCCCCTTGATTTTCAAAATATTGACAAATGGACGGTATTATCAACACAGTTGACAATTTCAATACTTCAGACGGGGATCTCTAATCAGCATCGAATAGGAAACATGGCACTTTCCCGAAGTCCAAAGGAAGTAACGATGGGATCGACCGATGGGATCTGGCATCGACTGTGTAAATGGAGCGACTGTATTGTCAGCCCCATTCCTCTCCTACAGGCCTGTTTTACTTTGGGAGTAAATCAGCCATAACCAGGCGTGACAGTCGGTGGCCAGTTTGGCAGCAGGTTTGCAGCTCTTGACTTTCCCCACCCAGATTCACCCCATGCCCTGTCCTCCCCTTTAAAAAGGCATCAATCTCTCACTTTTTAAATTCTGTTTTCAGTGCTTCCCTCAACACATGAAATTAGAGCCGAAGGTGTCCGCTCATTTGCAGAACATCACAGGAACATCAACAAGGACAACTCGTTTCCACTAGTACCAGGTAAATATGGTCAAGAGACCACTACGCACATGCCATGCCCGTTAAGACGTAATTTAGCTTGTCCTCCTCATTGGAATTACCAACTCAGTGCAGATTGTATGACGTAAATATCTTTCTGTCCAAGAAACTAGACAGTTCATGCTCCCCCCCGCCTTGCTGGCACTGTGCTCTTTTAAGCATGAAGCTAGATGACTTTAAACTGGCACTAAACAGGAAACCATTTAACGTCAGTTAGCATTAGCAGACATTTTCTTTTAGGGTTTGTCCCAGTGGGCTCTTCAGTATGGAAGGCCTCACTAGGAGAGGAGAAATGTTTTATTCTGACACTTTTATTCCTCTGTATTGTTTATTGAAGTCCAACAACTTTATCCAAGAACAAAGCAAACTTTTCTGGCTGTCCAGGAGGAAAAGGTTTCAAAGCTGACAAGTCCATCGACTGCAGTGTCTCCACAAGAGTGCTGTAAAAACAGACCAAAACCAAAAATTAAAAAAAAAATCCATCCCAAAGGGAAATCTTTTCTTCATACAATTTTCTTTCTATTTGTACATATGTAATGCTTTATCACTGAAACAAAAATAAGGACGTGTATTGAAAGGAAGAACAGACCCATCACCAGCTCGTAGGCAGCATTCCTGAGAACACAGTTCGCTTGCACAGACAACCTCAGCTCTTAACTTTTTAATCTGTGGTTGCAATGTTGGAAAACTCAACAAGATGTGAGGATCTTCACCATAAACCGTACCAGGAAATTCATCCTATCCGAACACATGGCATAGTTCTCCACTTAACGCATAGCCAGAAAGAACAGCTTGCTATTATCAGACTGCAGATAAGGCTCAAAAGCTAGCCACAAAAAGAAAGAAAAAATTCCTGTCTCCACAGCTGTCAGAGGCGCTGAGAGAATAAGTTTAAGAAACTTGCCCAATACAAACGAATGGCAGGCCTAGTCTTTTCACAAAAGGCTCTTCTGAAACATACAAAATCCTATTTGCAGGGCAAAGGAACAAGATGCAGACTAAATAATGGGAGTTTCATTTCCTCTGCCTTCAATTTAGAGGTCATCTGTTATTTATAGAACCCAATCAATTATAAATAATCATAGAGAAAACAGTAAGATATAGTCAAAACAAGAGAGTAAATTATACTAACATGAGCCAGGATGAACACAAACAAAGGAGCTGGGTTTTTTTGTTGGTGGTGGGTTTTTTTGGAGGGGATTGATTTTTTTTTCCTTGAAATGGAACTCCTTGTCAGAGGATGTGGTAGATTCAGGAAGTTTGGTTAAAAGGGCAGCCTGAATAAGTACTTGGAAGACAGAAGTATTGAAAGTTACTAACCAGACTGCATCTGATTTAGGAATCCCCTTGACTCAAAGTACTTCAGAGCATTAGAGGGAAAGTAATACAAGGAAGTACCATATGGTCCTGCCCCGTTTCTGCTTTAGGCTGGGCACCCACATATGGCCACTGCAAATAGGATACTGAGCTACATGGACTCTTGATCTGTATCAGTAAGGCCATTCTTATGTTTTATTTTAAATACTCCAGATACTTTCTATTTTATTATGTCAGTACATCTATACAGTCAACTTTAGTGCCCTTTACAAGGAAAATCCACATAGCAAAATGATGACATGCAGTCCTAAGTCTGCAGGGAGCGATGCATTCCTTATGACTCATGGTTACAAACCGATGGTCTGGGATGTATTATTTCTACACTTCAAAAAAGAATCCAACAACTAGTGAGAAAGAGAGAAGCTGTTAGATGCCTCTCAGATGCTACCTGCCTGTTCCAGATTCTATTTGGTTTAAATGGCTCTTCTTTCAATCTGAATACATGTGCCCTCAAAAACCAAAAAAATTAAAAGGAGTCATGGTGAAAAGGCTCGATAAGCTTGGTAAATTAGCAGCTAATGTTAATCTGTCTACTATGGAAAATCTACGTTGCAAACAAATGGTTGTTAGAGAAGGATGTACATTTGCTAGTGACATTCTCGATGCCGAAATAACACACCGAGTGATGGTGCTGAACACTGCTTGTTCAGTCAGGACAGCCACAGCAGCTCCATACCTGCAATTACAGCAGAGGACGTGCCCATCTCTGTGGAGCTGTTTTGCCAGTTCAAGCTGATGGTTGTTCATCAGCTTTTCATTAATTACTACTACTAGCGGTTTTCCTTTTTCCAGAGTCTCCAGACAGCTACCTGCACCTGCAGGAGAAACAGAAAACACGGTGGGTTTTTGCCCTGACAGATAAAATACCATCCTTCTTGCTCCTGAAACACAGGAGACTCCTGTGAAACAGAAAACACACTGAGTTATTGCCCTGATAGATAAAATACCACCCTTCTTGCTCCTGAAACACGGGAGACTCCTGAAAACGAACACTTAACCGCTCAGCTCTAGCTGTGGACCTGAACGTTCCCTGCCAGCCCACCCCAGAGCCCTAGAGAGAGATTTAGAGAGAGATGTGGGGCTGTTCAGCCTGAAGAAGAGAAGGCTCCAGGGTGACCTTAGAGCAGCCTTTCAGTACCAGAAGGGGCTACAGAAGGATGGAGAGGGGCTTTTCACAAGGGTGTGTAGTGATACGACAAGGAGGAACGGCTCTAAACTAAAAGAGGGCAGATTTAGATCAGACATCAGGAAGAAATTCTTCACCATGAGGGTGGTGAAACACTGGCCCAGGTTACCCAGAGAAGCTGTGGGTGCCCCCTCCCTGGCAGTGTTCAAGGCCAGGTTGGATGGAGCTCTGAGCACCCTGGTCTGGTGGAAGATGTCCCTGCTCATGGCAGAGGGGCGGGAACCAGATGATCCTTAAGGTCCCTTCCAACCCAAACCATTCTAGGATTTCACCCACCCGACTTCCACTCCTGCACCCAGAGCAGGCTCGGCCAGCGCCCGGGGCTCTACCTGCGTGGCTGATGACCAGGTCGGCCCTCCGCAGTTCCTCCGC